AATCATTTGGGGGAAGCATGTGCTGGAGACAAGTTGTGACCGGTAAATTGATATCACCCGCATGAGATAAGACATAGTGAGAATGAAAAAGCTAGTTTTTAACTGAGAAATGGGGACTATTTTTCCCATTTCGGGGCGATGTTGCCTGATATCTTTCGCTTTGTCAGTCTGTGGTTGACTCAACGGCAATTGGGAGGGATGGACCAGGCATCCAGTAACTGTGGGTCTTGTAACTGTTTGGTGAAACCGTATTACCATGCCACTATGAATGAGTTGGAGCGATAGAAGTGGGCAAAATGAGTGCGAAATTAGCAGTTTTATCTCACCAAAGCTGATTTAATAGCAGATAGCGAGGTTCTCCCACAGTGCCTTAAGTAGGACCCACGATACCATTGAATCCCACATGGTCCTTCCCCCAAAATTGTTTTCTCAGCCCAACTGGATTGGATTAGAAACTGACTTTAGAGTATCGTGGAGATACGTTGTCATTTCGCTAGATAGCCGCGGATACCATTGGGTCACAGGTCCAATCTGGCGTTCACAAACCAGGCCCATCTCTAATCACATGTATCATGGGAATGTAAGTTTAAATGCGTTCGTGCGTCATGCCAATTGATGGACATTGGTAGGGCCGTAACTAATTCTTGCCGAAGCTTTTAGTCAAGCAGACTATACTAGTGCATCTTGCATACTATGTCCATTCATAACTAAGCACAAAATAGATTTATATTCATACATATGGAAGGATTTGGCTAGTTCTCTTTGACATTACTCAGAGTAACTATACCTGTATATGCAAAGAATGGCTGTGGTTAGATGAATCTCTTGTCATACCATTGTTGTTAAGACATTCCCTTGGTGCGAAAGAGAATAAGAAAAAGACTGGTAGGTCGATCTTACCCAAATTCTACGGCAGGACTATGAACTGAGTAGTTCTTCGTTGCCATAACCGACAGCATTCACGCCAATCAAAAGCAATCCTCCTCCACCAATTCGAAAACTCACTTAAACCGACTATTCTCCAAAAAGTAAAAATCGGGTCACATCATCAATTTTTGCCTGTAGATACGAAGAGTAACTTGATTTCAAAGAATCTTCTGGGATAACATTGTTGGAAAGATATTTATTTCGTATGAAAGTGCACGAAGAAGAGATTCTAAAGTGAATCTCATCAGAAGACGACGGGGTCTGTTTCGAAATGTACCGCAGCCCCCTTACTTCCATACGGCGTTCAAGTTGGCGCAGTCAACAAGGCCTCCTCCCTCGTTTCAGGTGCAAATGG